ACGTAGCATTGTGACAAAACTTCCATACTTCACGTACCATTGTCACAAAACTTCCATACTTCACGTAGCATTGTGACAAAACTTCCATACTTCACGTACCATTGTCACAAAACTTCCATACTTCACGTAGCATTGTGACAAAACTTCCATACTTCACGTAGCATTGTGACAAAACTTCCATACTTCACGTAGCATTGTGACAAAACTTCCATACTTCATGTAGCATTGTGACAAAACTTCCATACTTCACGTAACATTGTGACAAAACTTCTATACTTCACATACCATTGTGACAAAACTTCCATACTTCACATAGCATTGTGACAAAACTTCCATACTTCATGTAGCATTGTGACAAAACTTCCATACTTCACGTAGCATTGTGACAAAACTTCCATACTTCACATACCATTGTGACAAAACTTCCATACTTCACATACCATTGTGACAAAACTTCCATACTTCACGTAGCATTGTCACAAAACTTCTATACTTCACGTAACATTGTGACAAAACTTCCATACTTCACGTAGCATTGTCACAAAACTTCCATACTTTACGTAGCGTTGTGACAAAACTACCATATTCTATGTAGCAATGTGACAAAACTTTCATATTTTATATAGCATTACCACCCAATTCGATTATTTCACATAGCATTGTGGCAGATATATTTCATGAAGCACTGCAATCCAATATTTATGGAATATTTCAAAAATAAAAAAAAAAAGACATACCTCTTCTGCAAACTGTCTGACATCGAGAGCCAATTGTAGCCTTATTTTATCATCATCACTCATCCCATTGGCACTGAAATTGCTGACTGATGTCACTTTACGCATCTTCAATTTTTTCAAGCTTTCCTCCATTTTGCGCACAGAATCCAGTACATCAGACGTGACTCCAAAATATCTATAAATATCAATAAATACTACTGTTCACATGTTACCTATCTTAGAGTGGTTAATTAGTTAGCATTATGAATGGGTAACCTAACACTCAAGTATCACTCTATCATGTCCAACATAACATTTAGATGTAGGTGATAATACTACATTCAGTGTACAAACAAATCCAGATAATTATATATATTAACTTCCAAATTTAGTTGTTTAAAAGCAACAAACAAGTCCCAAAAGCAAACATCTTGTGATGGTGAGTAATGAACGACCAAGAACTAATCAACTCAAGTGAAATCAAAATACTAAGTATTCCACATAAATAGAATTTCTTACTCACTCTTGAGTTAAAAGTGTTAATATACCCGACAACAACTCTCCTCGTCTGTCTGTTTTTATCTTTTCCCCATTTTCTTCTAAAAATAACTGCAATGGTTTGATTATGTTGTCAACATAGACTGATGCTTTACTTGGAATCTGTATACAAAGAACATAGAAAGACATATGACAGCGTTC